TGCATCTTGTACTGCCCAGCACCCCCCTGGACAATACAAGCTCATAGAAAGTCCGTCATTTCATCCGTGGGAAATGATATGCACCAGCCCTGTTATCTCATGTGGAGGTTCCCAAACTCTTCAATCCCACCATACTGCTTTAGCTAAAAAACAATAAAACAAATTTATTAACTACAGAAAGATAGATTTTAAGTAATTACCAGTCATGAGGCAGAAAAGTCAGAACTGGTTACAAAGAAAATAAAAAGATAAGGCACAAACTAATACCTAAGTTAGCAAGCTAAACGGAGTTAAAGAAAAGTTTTTTCTCACCATATGCTCTATACAGTCTTTACTGGCTGGAAGCCTCCAGACAAGTACTCCTCCCCCACTTCAGTGTTTCTTCAGGCATTGTTACTGCTGTGAGCAGAGAGGAATGGAGGAGAGAGAGGAGAGGTAATTTGTGTTGTGTGTGTTGTCTCTTCTTATGCCATTCTCCCCTCTTTGAGGATTATCTCCAGCTGGAGTTCAGGTGACAGCCAGTCTGTTTACATGGAAACCCCCAGTTGTTCCATTGTCAACAGGTAAAATTCTCGCACACGCCCTTCTTCCTGCCAAAGAATGGCTGCTTAGCTAGGTGATGGTCCACTTGACTTTGTTAACACCTGATGTTGCTTTGTCTTTTGTTTCTGAGGAACTGGTTTGTGCCTGCTGTTCTAAACTTGGAGCATGTTACAGCAATGTTATAAAGTAGAATCTTATAACTTTACATACAATGTTGATTCACATATTTTACCAGGACAATAAGGTTCAGCAGATTATGAGTTTTCAAATGATACCTCACAAGGCATATTTTGTACAAAATTTATCATGGTCTTGTAAAAGTGGTGAACATTGGGATACAGTCTGTCACAGTAACTATGTGCATTACTTTATTGCTGTTATTAACTAGAAACTGAACCACAAGGAGGAAAAAGCCCGACTGACTTCTGACTAGACATTACTGACAACGTGTGTGCAGATCAGTAGGGCCAATCAGTTGTGTCAGATTTCTAAAGTGATTTCAGCATGGCTATGGATTTGGATAGGGGATAGACCATCTCTTTTACAGCCTGTAAGTGAGTGAGTGAGTGTGCAATGAGGGTTGTTACATTGGGAACATTAATTTCCTACACTGGTTACAGAGACTAGAATCCATTCCTTATTTTTACCTACCATTTGGATGGCAAATTACTCTGTGGGCCAGCTTGATTTTCAGCCTGCTTTTTTGTTTAAGGGCGGACCAGGTGATTGGTAATGGGGTACATGGTAGAATCCTTTGCTTCTAATTGCTGGTATAATGAAAAATCATTGTTGCCTGAATTCTGGTTGGTGACCTCTTCTCTCAGTCCTTGTGGATGAGTGTCCATATCAAGAAAACCACCGCTACAGCGCTACAGTTGTTACTTATCTGCTCCCTTGGTGGCACTCTTAGCAGAATAACTAAGGACTGAATAACCTAAGGAGACCAAACTCTCCAGTAAAGGGCAGAGGACCAATGATAACGCTGTGTGTGGAGATGGCTGCATAGACATTGCCTGCACTTCATTTCTCTGTGGTGCTGCTGCTGTTGTTATTTTTATTGTATTTATCCGTATTGTGCTAGTGCCTGGAACTCTACATTCATTATTTTTTTTCTGTATGAGCTCCAGACTTTTGATCCTGCCTTAGTTTCTCCAAAGAGAGCACAGCGTATGCCTATTGAGGAGAATGGAGTTTCTTTATGCGAATCCCTGGTCTCTTTCACGCTAAACAGGGGAAGATTTTGGAGAAGCTGGGTCTGTGCAGTCAACTTCGCTTCACCCGCTATATGCGACGGGGAAAGAAATTAGGGGAGGACCCAAAGCTCTTCATCAAGGACCTGCAGTTTGGAAAGGTGCCAGTGAGGATTTACCAGCCTAGAACGCCTTCTGCTGGCCGGAGGAGAGGGGTCATCTACTTTCATGGAGGAGGCTGGATGTTTGGAAGCATTGGTAAGATATTTAACAGAAAAAAATATGCTGGATAAAGATAAAAAGTCACTCCGTTTTTACAAACATCAAAGGGAAGTTGGTTTGGGCCTGAGATTTGGGAGAAGGTTTGAGGTTTGACTCTTCACCAACAAATACACACATACTCTGGCAGATGTTGGCTGCAAGAAGAGAAGACTTGGTGAACATTACATGGCTGTTCCAGACAGCGGGGCAGCTTGGAAAGAGGTGTGATATCATGATGAGCAAAGGGGACAGTGAGAAATGAAGCCGGGGTAGTGCTTAAAGGGTGGGGAAGAGCAGGACTTAGATGGGGGAAAGGAGAGAATTGTCATTTCCCTTAAATGCATCAGAGAGCTAACAGGGTATAGAGTTGCTACTCCTTAGAGCGCTATCAAGGCACCAATGAAAACATTTGTTTTCCAGATTCCTATGAACCCGTATGCCGCTACATCGCCAGAGAAAGTGAATCGGTGGTCGTGTCTGTTGAGTAAGTGAGCCTGGTTCACTTCTATTATCTAGGACAGTGTTTCTCAAACTTGGGATGCCACTTGTTTAGAGAAAGCCCCTGGTGGGCTGGGCCCGTTTGTTTACCTGCCCCAGCCGCAGGTCCGGCCAATCGCGGCTCCCACTGGCCGTGGTTTGCTGCTCCAGGCCAATGGGAGCTGCTGGAAGCGACGCAGACCGAGGGACATACTGGCCGCCGCTTCCGGCAGCTCCCATTGGCCGAGAACAGCGAACCACGGCCAGTGGGAGCCGCGATCAGCTGGACCTGTGGACGCGGCAGGTAAACAAATCGGCCCGGCCCGCCAGGGGCTTTCCCTACACAAGTGGCATCCCAAGTTTGGGAAACACTGATCTAGGAACTAGTTACTCTGTATTGTGATGGCCACTAGCTGCACTGTTCTAGGGCGCCCCCCTTCTCAGAGGACTATATTTTCAAGAATCCAGGCGGTTCAGCAAGATGCTCAAGTTAACTTTATGATTTTGCAGCTTTTCACTGCTTTTGTGCTGAGCTCAACAGAACAGACCCAGAATAAGATTGCTGTATATGAGCACCTTTTGTCATCTGATGGGGAAGAAAAAAACTGGAAAGAAGTTATCAGACCATTTTCATAAAAAGCAAATCTATCTTGCACCCAGCAGTTAGCATAAAGTTGTCAGATATTGAGCCAAATCTTCATCTTAAGTCCGCAAACTCCCATTGAGACCTTGAGGTAAATGGGAATTTTGCCTGAATAAGAAATAAACAAGAAATATTTGTATTTCCATAGCACCAACAGTAAAAAATATTGTTGTTGTATAACAGTAGCACTTATAAGAGCTAAGTATTATGATTATAGGCGTCAACCAAAACTGGGGTCGCATGATGCTGATCCCAATACAAAGACAGTAAGAGACTGTCCCCATCCCAAAGACCTCACAATCTAAATAGATAACACAGACAAAACAAGTATAATTAATCCCCATTGTACGGATGGGAAACGGAGGATTAAAAAAGAGATTAAATGACTAAGCCAAGGTCCCTCAAGGAGTCCGTGGCACAGCTGGGAATCAAACGCGGCTCTCCTGAGTTTCAGTCTAATGCCTTAACCAGAAGACAATCCTCAGCATTTGGCCCTGCTGGTCATAGTTTATCTGTGATCTGCAAATATAGGAATGATCGTTTGGAGGGCGGGTGCACGTTTATGAGGTAATATAGGTGTCCATGGCTGCACAACAACAGGAGGGCTGAAAGTGGAGGAGTTTGTAGCAAATAAACGTCCAACAAATAATAATGATTGTTTTCCATTTTTATAATCACTGACTCGTTGATATATTAGGTATCGTCTGGCGCCAGAGCACACGTACCCAGCACAGTACGAGGACTGTCTCACTGCTACCACACACTTTATGAAGACTGCAGAAGACTATGGAGTGGATCCTGCCTGTATTATCATTAGTGGGGACAGTGCTGGGGGCAATCTTGCTGCTGCTGTTTGCCAAACACTAGTGAGTAGATCAGACCTTCCAAAGGTGCATGCTCAGGTCTTGATCTATCCATGCCTCCAGGCAATAGACTTCAATTTGCCCTCATATCAGCAAAACTGTGCAGTCCCCATCTTGTTCAGGGAACGTACGGCTTTTTATGTTCTGCACTACCTCAAGGGGGACGCGTCATTTTTGGAAGATGTCCTGGAGGGTTCCCATATGCCTGTAGATGTAAAATTGAAGTTTAGAAAATGGCTAAGTGCAGACAATATCCCTAAGGAATTTAAGGTCAGAGGGTACAAACCAAAGGTGCCCATCGAATGCTCAAATGAAGTTTATGAGGCAGTTAGAAATTTTTGTGAGCCAGCCTTTTCCCCACTTCTCGCTGAAGATGCTGTTGTTCACCAGCTCCCTGAGTCGTTCATCTTGACTTGTGAGCATGACGTGCTAAGGGATGACGCCCTGTTATACAAGAAGCGATTAGAGGACGGCGGTGTGCCAGTGACCTGGTACCACATTGAGAATGGATTCCATGGAATCATAAGCCTGTTTGATAATGGCAGGTTGTCATTTCCCGCTGGAAAAAAGGGACTGGACAACATTGTAAACTTTCTCAGAAGCTTATAAAAACAATCTTCTCAAATATTGGGTCTTATATTTCCTCTGGTCTTCATATATGCCCCCAAAGTCTGGGAAGAGATCTATAGGAACAGTATCTTATATCACATGATGAGCTGCCATGACCTGGTTTCCGTTGGTGATGAAGTTCACAGGCTTGTGTGCAGTCCCTTCTGTTACTGGGCGGAATGTTGATTACACACTTACATATTTTAAATGATTTTTTTGCATCATGCTGCAAGCTATTGTCTTTATAAATATCAGTAAATATTAAAGAAGATTTGTAATTGATTTTCTGGTTTGACCCATTTGATTCAATTATGGCCTGACTGTTAATCCTTCCATGGAGAGATATGGTGCGTGTGTGCTTATGTGTGTAAGTAAAAGTACATGCCACCTACATCACAACATTATGATGCAAAGTCTATGCACTGCAGTACTTTTGGAGAGCGGTACCAGCATCCAACTTACATGCAGCTGCAGTAGTGAAACCCTTGGTCCTTTGTCTTCTGCAAATTTAAGGGTTCATTATGGACCATGGAATATTTTTCATCTCAGTGCAGAATATTACTTATACTGCATTACACAAAGATTAGCCAAACATTTTATGATTACCTCTTTTTATTTTGCCCAGTGTCTGTAGAAAGGATAACATGTTTGATTTTTTTTTTTTAGGTTTAGGTTTAGAGTAATTTCTACAAAAACCTGCTTAATTTCTGTAGTAATCTTATTGCTGTATCCCTACTAAATTCTATAAGCATTCCTTAAAGCTAGACCCATTGCCCTGTCCAAATTTCAACTCCAGTAATTATGTCCTTTGTACTCCGTCTTTGTAATGTACAGCACTGTTGGGCTACTTTGTTTTTAAATTACCTTATGCACAGTGTAAAGATCCAACCCTGCTCCCATTGAAGTCAGAAACAAAACTCCATTTATCTTCAATGCGGCAGGAGCCTCTCTCTCTTAGGAGTAGGATCCGCTGTTGCTTAGAGAGTGTTTGCATCCATTGACGATCACCATGGAGACAGCAAACAATAAAGATTCCAAGGCAGGGGAGTTCCACACATTAACTAGCTCACCCTGCACACAAGCAGAGAGAAGCATAGATCCCGTTCTGCCTGATCTCCGCTGCATGAACACAGAACCACCATTCACCTCCCAGAAGGGGAAGGGCAGAGGAACCATTGATACTACAGGAGTGGACGGGAAAGGGTACTGCTGAGACTAAAGAAGCATGCTTACGTCTCAGAGGGATGTGCAGGAATGGTACCTTCCCAGCTGGAAAATAAAACCAGAGTATTCCACGAAAGTGCTCATTGGAAACTGGTTGGAAGAGAGGAAAAGGGTAAGAAGGGATAAAAGAAAAGGGAGAATGGGAACAGAGAGGGTCAGACCCCTGATGCTCTGGAGATGATCAGCCACCAGACTTAGGGAAGTTTGGATCCAGGCCCATCTCAAAAGAGGAACAAAGGCAGAACCTTGGGTGCCTTGACCACAAAGTTCACTGGCCTGCTTCCATTTCTAGTCAGGAGGGAGTACTCTTCCCACTGAGCCACTACTAAAGCAATGTCCAAGCATGATGGATGTGGTGTAGATGGAGAGGTTCTTACAGACAACACATAAAGTGGTGGCCCTGACAACTTTGGGCTATTAAAGATCCCATGGCACTTCTCCCAAGACCAGGTATGTTCACTCCAGTTTTCTGGTTCACTTCCAGTTGTGTAATTAAGTTCTGTCTACCTCTGATTCCCCATCCCCAGTGCTTTCAGGTGGATAGGAGATTCTTTGTCTCTTTGTCCTGCACTGTTATTGGGTTCTGTATAAAGGCATCCCAGTCAGCGGCAGCTGTATTTCAGTGGTGGGTGCAGACAACCCTGTACTAACACATGCACTTTGTAACCAGCTACTAAAATCTGTCAAGTGCCATGCGGTCATTGGGTAAAAGATGCCTTATAATGTTCATTTCAGGATTTGTATTATTCATTTTTATTGAATTCTGCTTTAGCATAGCTCTGTTTCTCACAGCGAGGCAGCCAACCCTGCAATCTCTTTTCTTTGATAAGGAAAACAGCTTATTTCATAATGACACGTCAGACATGTTCTTCCTGGGGGTGAAGCAATACCCTATTTTAAATAAAGAAAATAAACACGTTCAAGTTTTACTGCCTAAGACCCCCTTTTTTTTTAAACTTTAGATCTTTTACTTTAGGATACTAGCATCGTTTATGTTCTTCACAGTCAGCCTCTCTCTTTCCACACATATGGTCTGTAGAAATGATCTTATATTTAAGTGGCACCTTTTATATCAATTTATGTCAAATTAATTTATAGATGGAACAAATTATATATATATAGAGAGAGCCTACATTGTAAGCTCTTTGAGACCAGGACTATCTTTACTCTATGCTTGTAGAGGACATAGCAAAATGGGATCCTAATCTTGGCTGTGGTCCCAACGCACCACTGTAATACATACAAAGAATATATACCCACCACTAAACTGCAGCCACCTCAGAGTGGGAACACGCAGCTGTTTAATAGCACACAACAACGCTGTTCAACAAAGACCTGATTACCCTTCTCCCTCAACGAACTGCTCCAAGTAGCAGCCGAATCTCCTTATAAAAAGTGCCATGGGGACTGGAATGACCACAGTTGTTCTGGATGTTGGTTCAGTATTGATTCAGAGAGAACTGCCTCCTTTTAAAATCACTCAAACTCCTTCTGGTAGCCCCCCACTATTTCCTGGAATCGCAGCCAAACTCTCACTCAGCCTGACACCACTTATCTTATGAGATCTGACGGGATCACAATGGGAAGAGATATTTGAAGGGTGTAGACATTATATAGGGAGAGGAATTATTTAGGGTGTTGCCTGGCGGTATAAAATAGGAGGAAATGAAAAAGGGAAAATGTAGGTTGCAGATCAGGAAACACTTCCTGATAGTGAGATGTATTAGACCATGAAATAATCTCCCAAGGGAAGTGGAAGAGGTCCCACCACTTGAGATTTTAAAAACTAGACTGGACAAAATCCCAGAAGATATACTGTAGGGAACAATCCTGCACTGGGTGGTAGATGGACCAAGGATCAAAATGAAAGTTGATCAAAATAAAAGTTGATCCTTTCCTTCCAGTAGCTAAGCCTACACTAGGTGAAAAAGTGTGGCAATGAGCCATTGGTGAGCTTGTAATATCTACACATAAGAACCATTCCAGGCTTTTTACAATGGCCGGTTTTACTGGTTGATTGCAACATCTGAGTCAAGGTCTTCAGAGTAGGCCTTTGCAAGCAAAAAGTGTCTTCCAAGTGCAGCCAGGAAGTCATTAGCGTCAGGGCTTTGGGGTCCTTTGTAATGAGAGCCCCTGGGCAAATCTGCCAGATCTGTTCATTTTAATTCAGTTGTTCCACTGATCTTCAGAAGGCCGAAGGGGGACATTGTCGAGGGCACATGGGAGTCACCCAACTCAATGGGAGTTTGACACTCTAGTAAAGTGGTCATTAAGGGATTAACTGGGTTACCAGAGTACTATGGGTTGGAGCCGTGTTCCTGTTTAGTTCGTGTGTGTTTTCCCTCATTCTGTTTGTAGATAGCTGAATGAAGCAGAATGGTTTTTACCTGCAGTTCTGTAAGCAGAGTGTGTTTGCTTACCGTGAGTGGTCCCTGTACAAAAGACACCTAATTGCACGTTGAGCCTTTGAAAATCTCTCCCAACGAGCAGTTGTTTCAGTGTGAATAATCGCTACATAGCGAGTGTCTCCTTTTGGATCTCTTTTAGTTTATAAAAGACACTGGGAAACCCAGCAACAGCATCTATGGGACTGACTTTATTCGCTTCCCTGACCACAGAATAGATCAAACAGTGAGGAGAACCATTATGAAGAAACTTGATGTAAGTAAAAAAATAGGGGTCTCAGGGCTTGACTATTCAGAGATTTAGTACCCGGCAAGCTGGAATGTGAATCTACAGTGCACCAGCCTACTGGGAGCTGAATGGCCACATGGACTTTGCTACCATGTGTTAAAAGTTCTGTAGTACGCTTTGATCTACTGCGGTTTGAAACTGCAGCCTGGAGGGCTCTAGATTTACCCCCGGCTTGCCGTGCACTACATGGCCATGGAGACAAGACCTCTGAGTTAAGATTGTAAATGTCAGCATTCAAAACAGGCATGTATTACATTTAAGATTAAAATCCTGCCCAAATGTGTGTGTGTGTGTATGTATCCGGAGAAGGAACAGAATGCTAGTGGGCAAGTTAAGGCCCCCAGAGCCATCCCGCATGCTGCTTCAGGGCAGGACGGCTTGCGGAAGAGGGAGAATACAAATCTCACAAGGCTTCTTGCAGCTCCCCCCAGTTCCTGTTGTTAACCCCTACATGTGTGCAGGGGGAATACAGGGCCGGCTCTAGGCACCAGCACTCCAAGCATGTGCTTGGGGCGGCACGTAACAAGGGGCGGCACTCCGGCTCCTTTTTTTTTCCCCGTGGGGCGCAAAAAGCCAGGAGCCAGCCCTGAGGTGAGCTGCGGCGGTGGGGTGCACGGGGAGGGCCGCAGGAAGTAACCCTGGGGGGGGGCAGAGGAACTGCTCCCCCCGCAGCTCACCTCCGCTCCACTGCCGCCTGCTCCCCCGAGCCCGCTGCCGCTGCTCCGCTTCTCCCCCCACCCAGGCTTGCCGCGCGAATCAGCTGTTTTGCGGCAAGCCTGGGT